ACTTTCCTTTCCACTCCCCTGTTATCAGCTGGCCATTCAACGCCACCTGTGCGGCCACAGGTTGGAGAGAACCTTGGTCTTGCTGTTGGCTGTCATTTCTCGTGTGCGGCAGGTGGGGGCCATGACCTTGGACCATGAGAGAGGTGGCGTTCCACCACCTGTTCTGGGAATGGGGCCCAGTCTGCTCCTTACCCACCCCCACAATCTCCTTTCTGCCCTATATTAGAGCCCCAGGCTAAGCGTGTCTTTCCTATCATCTCAAAACTCATGATTTTCTGGCTGCTATCAGCAGAAATGTTGAGCTTTGGAATGGAATCAAACTTAAGTTGTTATCAAATTAAAATAGACTCTTATAGGGGCGCCTGGGTAGCTCAGTGGGTTGAGCGTCCAACTTCGGCTCAGGTCATGATCTTGCGGTTTGTGGATTAGAGCCCCGTGGCAGGCTCTGTGCTGACGGCTAGCTCAGAGCCTGGAGCCTGTTTCAGATTCTGTGTCTCCTTCTCTCTCTGCCCCTCCCCAGCTCACGCTCTGTCTCTTTCTCTCTCTAAAATAAATAAACATTAAAACAATGTTTTTAAGTAGACTGTTTTAGATACAGGCTACTAGATGTAAGCCTCATGGTAACCACAAAATAAAAGCCTATAGTATATACACAAAAGATATAGAGAAAGGAATGTAAGGATACTACTAAAAAAAAGTAATCAAACTACAAAGGAAAAGAGCAAGAGAAGAAGAAAGGAACAAGAGTCTACCAAAGCAGCTAGAAAACAATGAACAAAACCGCAGTAAGTATATCCCTATCAGTAACAGGAATGTAGATGTAAATAGACTAAATTCTCCAGTCAAAAGACATAGAGTAGATAAATGAATCAAAAAAATTTTAAAAAAGGATCTAACTCTGTGCTACCTGTAAGAGACACATTTTAGATAAAAGGGACACGTGCAGACTGAAAGTAGAGGGATGGAAGAAGATATTTTGTGCCGGTGGAAACCAAAAAAAGATGTAACAGCTATTTTTATATCAGAGGAAAAAAAAGACTTTAAGACAAAGACTGTAAGAACAGACAAAGACGGGCATGGAGTCTGCTTGGGATTCTCTCTTTTCCTCCCTCTCTCCCTCTCTACGCCCCACCCCCCACATGCATGCATTTGCTCTTACGCTCTCTTTCTCTCAAAATAAATAAGTAAACATTAAAAAGATTAACATTTTAAAAATAAATAAAAAATAAAAGACAAGAGAAAAGACCAGTGAAACAGCAGGGTCTTTGGAAAGATACACAAAGTTGACAAACATGTAGCTAGACTCATCAAGACAAGAAGAGGAAAGACTCAAATAAATAAATATTTTTAATATTTATATTAAATATATAAATATATATTATATATAAGAGACTACCATAAAACAATCATATGGACAATCCCTAGAAGAAAGGAATAAATTCATAAAAACATATAAACTACCAAGACTGAATCATGATAATATAAAAAAAACTGAACAAATCAATTACTAACAAGAAGATTGAACCAGTAATCAAAACCTCCCAACAAACAAAAATCCAGGACCAGATGATGTCATGGGTGAATTCTACTAAACACATAAAGAAGAAACAATACCAATCCTTCTCAAACTCTTCCAAAAAATAGAAGGCAGGGGTGGGAGGGAGGGACTTCCAAACACATTTTACAAGGCGAACATTACCCTGATACCAAAACCAGACAGGGGTGCCACAAAAAAGAAGATTACAGGTCAATATCCCCAATGAACATAGATGCAAAGATCCTCAACTAAATATTAGCAAATTGAATTTAATTTACACATTAATTAAATTACATTTAATACATTAAAAAGATCATACACCATGATCAAGTGGGATTTATTCCAGGGATGCAAGAATGGTCCAACATCCACAAATTGGTCATGAGATACACCACATTAATAAAATGAAGGATAAAAATTGATCCTTCCAAGAATATTGATCATCTCAGTAGATGCAGAAAAGGCAGTTGACAAAACTCAACATCCATTTATGGCAAAAACTCTCAACAAAGCTGGTACAGAGGGAACGTGTCACAACATAATAAAGGCCATATGTGACAAGCCCACAGCTAACTCAGTGATTATCGTACTCAATGGTAAAAAGCTGAAATTTTTCCTCTAAGATCAGGAATCAGACAAGGATGTCCACTCTTACCACCTTTATTCAACATTATATTGGAAGACTGCCAGAGAAATCAGGCAAGAAAAAGAAATAAAAGGCATCCAAATTGGAAAGGAAGAAGTAAAACTGTCACCATTTGCAGATAACATAATTATATAGAGACAACCTTAAAGACTCTATCAAAAAATGAATTTAATACAGTCACAGGATACAAAGTTTGCATACAAAAATCTGTTGCATTTCTTTATACTTATAACAAACTATCACGAGAAAAGTTTTTAAAAATCCTATTTAAAACTGAATCAAAAAGAATAAAATAGGGGTGCCTGGGAGGCTCAGTTGATTAAGTGTCTGACTTTAGCTTAGGTCATGATCTCATGGTTCATGGGTTCGAGCCCCGCATCAGGCTCTGTGCTGACAGCTCAGAGCCTGGAGCCTGCTTTGGATTCTGTGTCTCCCTCTCTCTCTGCCCCTCCCCTGCTTGTTCTCTGTCGCTTTCTGTCTCTCAAAAATAAATAAATGTTAAAAAAAAGAATAAAATACCTAAGAATAAATTTAACCAAGGAGGTGAAAGACATGTATATTGAAAACTATAAGAAATTAATGAAAGAAATTGAAGAAAACAAAAAAGTAGGAAGATGTTGCATGTTCATAGATGGGAATAATAAACTTAAAACATCCATCCTACCTAAAGCAATGTACAGGTTCAACGCAATCCCTATAAAATTCCAGTGACATTTTTTTTTTTTACAGAAATAGAACAAACAATCCTAAAATTTGTATGCAACCACAAAAGACTCAAATAGCTAAAGCATTCTTGAGAAAGAACAAACCTGAAGACATCATGCTCCCTGATTTCAAACTGTATTACAGGGCTGTAGTAACGAAAACAGTATGGATTTGACATAAAAACAGACACGCAGATCAATGGAACAGAATGGAGAGCCCAGAAATAAGTCCATGTATATACAGTCAATTAATTTATGACACAGAAGCCAAGACTATACAATAGGGAAAGGGCGGTCTCTTCAATAAATAGCGCTGGGAAAATTGGACAGTCACACACACAAAAGAATGAAAGTGGACCCCTATCTTACACCAGACAGAAATTAACTCGCAGTGGGTTAAAGACTTGAATGTAAGACCTGAGATCATAAAAGTTCTAGAAGATAACATATGCAGTAAGCATCTTGACTAGGTCTTGGTGGTGATTTTTTGAATCTGACACCAAAAACAAAAGCATTAACAAAGCAGAAATAAACCAGTACGACTACATTGGCATCTGAAGTCCTCCTGTGAGCTCTTCTAATGCCTTAGCTTCAGTTCTCTCTCAATCTCTCTTCATTCAGCAAATATATATTGTATACTCAATAAGCCATGCCCTGTTCTAAGTGTCACACTATTCTCTCTCAAAAATAAATAAATGGATGTTTAAAAATGACAATCAAAAAGTTGGCTCAGATGTGGAATAACAGGAACTGTCATTTCCTGTTAATGAGAATATCCACTCCTTTTTTAAAAAAAAAATTTTAATGTTTTATTTATTTCTGAGAGAGAGAGAGACAGCATGAGCAGGGGAGGGTCAGAGAGAGAGGGAGACACAGGATCTGAAGCAGGCTCCAGGCTCTGAGCTGGCTGTCAGCACAGAGCCCGATGCGGGGCTCAAACCCACGAACTGTGAGACCATGACCTGAGCCAAAGTCGGACGCTCAACCGACTGAGCCACCCAAGCACCCCGAGAATATCCACTCCTTGTGGTTACATAGAATAGCTGGACCATTACATACCCTATGTTTCACTAACTCTTATCCAAGGCATAGAGCAGATAAATGTGAACCACTTCCATAAAAGCAAAGAATGAGTAACACTCAAATATCCATTAATAAATTGGATAGATTTTGAATTTTTTAAATTTAGAATATATGAAGGATGGGTTACTAAATAGTAAAAATAAATCAATTGCATGCATTCACATAGATGAATTTCAGGAACAATATTGAACACAAAATAAAAATGACATCACTAATGAATGATCATTATATGATTCTACTCACATAGAGGGCCAAACGGGAAACCAGTATATTTTTTAGGAATACATATGTATGTGAACATCTCATGAAAGCGAGGGAATGTCATACAGCTGAGATACACAGAGGAATTATAATGTTCTATTTCTGAGGCCAGGTGCTGAGAATAAAGGTGTTTGTTTTACTATTATTCTACACACACATGCATGCACAGGAAGTAGGCTTCATTTATTTTTGTTGATCTGTCATAGTCTCCACTACTAGATTCAAGTTCCAGGGGAGCTGGGACATGTCTTGTTCATGGCTCCATCCCCTTGAACATCCTAATAATAGAGAAAGCGCTCAAAGTGGTTTTTTTTTGTTTTTGTTTTTGTTTTTGAGGTGGCTACCAATATGGCTCCTGACTTAGAGATGAGAAACCTGAGGCCCAGAGAGGTTAAGCCACATTCCCAAGCATGAAGAGCCTGGAGGTGGCAGAGCGAGGATTTGAACCCAGGTCTGACCAGTTCCAGAGCCTCCTGGAAGAGGCTGGCTTGTTCCCATGAGAACTTTCCTTTCCCCTCCCCTGTTATCAGCTGGCCATTCAACGCCACCTGTGCGGCCACAGGTTGGAGAGAACCTTGGTCTTGCTGTTGGCTGTCATTTCTCGTGTGCGGCAGGTGGGGACCATGGCCTTGGAGCATGAGAGAGGTGGCATTCCACCACCTGTTCTGGGAATGGGGCCCAGTCAGCTCCTTACCCACCCCCGCAGTCTCCTTTCTGCCCTATATTAGAGCCCCAGGCTATGCGTGTCTTTCCTATCACCTCAAAACTCATGATGCTCCGGCTGCTGAATTCCCTCCTACTTGTGGCCCTTGGTAAGAGCCCTGCCTGTGCTGCACTGGGCCACGAGCCCTTGAAATATGTCACCCACCTTGGGTACCGCGAACCCACACCTGGTTCCATAGGAGGGGGAGGTGTCTCTGCTTGTACTTGGGTATGATTGTAAGGATTTCAGGTTTGGTGCTGGGGCAGGAGAATGGGGTAGGGAGGAGCCATGGAGAGACCAGCTCAGGAGAGAGACTGAGGTACCCAAAGCACTGTGGTGGGACTCCTCAATGGGGGCAGTAATAGAAGTCTAGACATAAAGAGTTGGACTCTTCAGTGGCTAGACTGCTTGGGTTGGAATTTCTGTTCCTCTACTTATCCCTCCAATTCTCTCCCTCCCCCAACCCTACTCCATATCCTGGGCTCTAGTCTTTTCCTAGTCTCTCTGCCATATTATATTCCAGCTCAGGGCCACCTCCTCCAAGCTGCCTCCCTTGACTGACAATAACAGTAATAGATAATGTTTATTGAGCGGTTACTATATATCAGGGAGAATACTAAGGATTTTTTTTCTCGTATTATCTCTCGTAAGCCTTACAACAAGCTTATGTGATCAGTACTGTTATTATCCCCATTTTACAGATGGATCCTCAGAGACATAAAAAGACTTTTCATGACAATAAGCTGTCATTTCTCGAAGGCTCATTGGGCACCGGGCATTGTTCTAAGTGCATCAGCCCCTTCAATCTTGCCATGGAAGGAGGTCACATCTCCATTCCTAGAATCCTGGGACTCTGAAAACCCCTGTTCTAGGCCAGATGTTCACTGTTCATAGGTGGCTACGGAGGTCCAGAGAGGGCAAAGTGCTTGCACTGGGTCACACAGCCAGCTTGTGGTGCATCTGGAATTGCGAACCAGGCCCCTTCTTTGCTTTTGGGGACTCTGGCTCACTGACATCTGCACTCTCCTTTCCAGCCTCGGGCTGTGGCCGGCCTTCCTACCAGCCCTCCTCCCGTGTCGTCAATGGTGAGGATGCAGTCCCCTACAGCTGGCCCTGGCAGGTAAGACCAATATCAGCTGCGCTTTTTCTCCCCGTGGACTCTGCACTCCTTTCTGGTTGCAAGGCATCCGGTCTCGACCCCACTGCTTTGCTTCTAGTAACCTCTTCAACTTCCGAAGGCCAGGAGACTCTTACTTAGACAGTCTACTTTGCATGAAGTCCTGCCCATTCAACCCGGGACCCTCCCTGGGCTGTTTGCATGTTAAAAGTGGAATCTGGAGAGAAGGAAATGTTTGACCCGAGGGTTGGTGCACTAATGGTGGAATGTCAGGCACAGTGTTTAGGGACGGAGGTTTTAGGGTACTCATTACTAGACTCTTCGAATTATACAGCCGGGCTATAAGATCGAGGGCACTAGAGGAATGAAGGGCTTTCTAGAGGTCAGGGAAGCACAGAGGACTAGACCTGCTGCAGTCACACAGTAGCCACTAGCCACATGTGTTTATTTAATTTTCAATTAATTACAATTAAATAATGTTAAAATTCAGTTGCTCAATTCTAGCCACATTCAAATTCTTAATAGCCACGTACGGCTAGTGGCTACCCCATTGGACAGCCAAGACACAGAACATTTCCATCATCACAGAAAGTTCTCTTGGATGGCATTGGTCTACAGCAGGGGTCAGCTAACTTGTTCGGCAAAGGACCAGAGAGTAAAATATTTTAGATTTTGTCAGCCATGTGGTTTCTATTGTGATGGTTTAGCTCTGCCATTGTAGTATGAAAGCAGCCATAGATGATACAGTCATGTGAGTTGAACACTGCACATTTCTAGAGGATGCCGTTCTGCATGAATGATGCCCTAGACTTGTACAGTGCACAACCTATACCGTCATGGGTGTCAGCCCTCCCTGTGGGGCCCAGACCACTTAGGCTCCTCCCTCCTTGCCACCAGGTCTCCCTGCAGTACAAGAAGGACGGAGCCTTCCACCACACGTGTGGCGGCAGCCTTATTGCTGCCGACTGGGTCATGACTGCGGGCCACTGCATCTCGTAAGTGTTTTTACTTGCCCCTGTCCCTGCATGTGAGAACCAGGCAGACAGGGGCAGTGGGTAGCTAAGGGAGGGGAGGGAGGGTCCAGGGCCCAGACTGACCTGATCTCCTCCACCGGCAGGAGCTCCTTGACGTACCAGGTCGTGTTGGGCGAATATAACCGAGCGGAGGAAGAGGGCTCCGAACAGGTGATCCCCATCAGTGCCGGGGACCTCTTCGTGCACCCGCTCTGGAACCCCAACTGCGTAGCCTGTGGGTGAGTGGACTCTCAGGTTACTGGTCTCTCTGTGACCCAAAGATGAGTGTGAAGGGACCCGCAGTGACAGTGGGGCTGGGTCTAGCAGCCCGGGCCCACGTCCCGCACGCTGAGGGTCAGAGCCACGAGAGGGTCTAAGGACCATCTACACGAAACTCCTCTCTCTGTGGAAGAACAGCAGGGCTCAGGGAGGGCCATGAACTCCCCCAAGGCCACTTGGCTAGTTGGCTTGAACCCAGAAGTCCTCTGGCGCCCCCTCATCCAAATCCAAAGCGTCCTCCATTCAACAGACATTTGTCCAGTGCATCCTGGGTTCCCAGCACTGTAGGCAAAAGAAAGGGCACTGGACCCAAAGTCAGGCTCCAGCACTAAGTTGCTGTGTGGCTTGGACAAGTCACTGCCCTTCTCTGGGCCTCAATTATACCATATGTCAAGGGTGGCCTTCTGGGCTTCCTGGGTGGTTTGAGGGACAGGGAGGCAATCACCATGTGAGAACACGAAAGCAGGGCTTCCTAAGGCCCTCAAGCATGTACAAAATCATGTGTCTGGGTGGCTCAGCATTTTTCTGGTGAGGGTTAAAGAAGGGCACAGGACCCCTGAAAGTGCAGTGCAGGAGAGAGGGGGTCATGATGATCATGACCTTGACCCACCCTCACGGGACTCCTGCAATACGTGGAAAGGAAAGGGGGCCCAGGTGCAATGATTTGAGTGACAAGTAAGCAGATGAAGACCAAAAGCCCGGGTTCTTGAAGGGTGGTCCCGGGGCCATCAGCATCACCTGGGAACTTGTTGGAACTGTGAGGTGAACCCGGAGCTGAACTCTCTGCAGCAAAGGTGGAGAGGTGGGGCTTGGTCTGGCTGGAGGGCCAGGCTGCCCTGACGCTTTCCTCCTCCCCAGCAATGACATCGCTCTCATCAAGCTGTCGCGCAGCGCCCAGCTGGGAGACTCTGTCCAGCTTGCCTGCCTCCCTCCTGCTGGTGACATCCTGCCCAACGGGGCGCCCTGCTACATCAGTGGCTGGGGCCGGCTCTACAGTGCGTGCTGACCCCTCCTGCCGGCCACAGGGACTGGGGGCGGGGGAGGGGGAAGGCTACAGGACACGTCCTTGCACTTGCCCCCCGTTCCTCCTCCAGGGGCACCTCTCCCCCCTCCTCCCAAACACAAATGTGTTCAACTGAGCGTTTTTCAGTATCTCCTGTGCGCCGGTGCTGGGGATGCTATGGTGGACAAAACAGGCAGGACCCTCTCTGGTGGGAGGAGAGCCCCCATCAGACTAGAAGAGCTGCCTCCCTCAACACCCGCCCCCCCCCGCCCCACCCCAGAGGCTCCCAGCCCTGACTCCCAGGCCCCGGCCCGGCCCTGCACCCCCATGCCACCCCACTCAGTGCCCTCTCTCCCGCAGCTGGCGGGCCCCTCCCAGACAAGCTGCAGCAGGCGCTGCTGCCCGTGGTCGACTACGACCACTGCTCCAAGTTGGACTGGTGGGGCATCTCTGTGAAGAAGACCATGGTGTGCGCCGGTGGGGACATCCGCTCGGGGTGCAACGTGAGTCGGCTCTAAGTGCAGGGCCCCGGGGTACCTCTGCCATCTGCCTAGGAAGCAGAGGAGAAATCCTTCCTGCTTTCCCCATCAGCCTCTGGGCCAGGCAGAACTTGGAGGAAGTCAGTGTAGCCAGACACACCGCCCGGGGCCTCTGGCTTCTGGCTGCCTTGACCGGGGGCAAATCACTTGACCTGGTCCTCAGGCTTCCCCATCAGCACAGCAAGGGATACTGACACCATGATCTAATAAAACAGTACTATCATTGTATTATATGTGAGGATGAATAGTGTTATATTTTTTAAATTTTTTTTAATGTTTTATTTATCTCTAGGAGAGAGAGAGAGAGACAGCGTGAGCAGGGGAGGGTCAGAGAGAGAGGGAGTCACAGACTCTGAAACAGGCTCCACGCTCTGAGCTGGCAGTCAGCACAGAGCCCGACGCGGGGCTCGGACCCACGAACCGCGAGATCATGACCTAAGCGAAAGTCGGACGCTTAACCGACTAAGCCACCCAGGTGCCCCTGAATAGTGTTATAATAGCTACTGTGGTAATAATATGGGAGCTACTACCCTTTATTGATTGCTCTCTCTCTGCTAGATGTTGTGCTAAGATCATATATTTATTATCTCACTTAATTCTTACAAGACCCAGCAGGACAGATGTTAGTCCTCATCTCAAGCAGGCCAGCTGGGGCTTAGAGAGGTCAAGTAAAACACAGGGGTTTCTCAGAATCCGCACAGTGAGAACCAGTTCCTTCAATCTCACACATGGTGGCTCAGCTCCCCACTGCTCTCTGACAATTGCAGGGTGACTCTGGAGGGCCCCTTAACTGCCCCACCGCAGATGGCTCCTGGCAGGTCCACGGTGTGACCAGCTTCGTTTCTGCCTTCGGCTGCAACACCCTCAAGAAGCCCACGGTGTTCACCCGAGTCTCGGCCTTCAATGACTGGATCGAGGAGGTGAGTGGGACAGGGCGAGCAGGAGGGCCCCCAGCTGGCTCTTCGGGAAGCTTGAGAGGGGCTGGGCGAGGACAGCAGGTCCTGAGGAAGGGCTGAAAAAGGATCCCAGAAGATCAGGAGTGGAGGGGCCCTGGGGAACATTCCAGAGGGCTTTGAGGATGTTTTCTGCTATGGTGTGGCCCCCAAGAACCTCAGTGGCTTCTGAGTGGAACTTTGAACTACAGCTGAACTTCCTTATCACAAGTGTTCGTGAAATGTCTTCTTTGATCCAGGTCTTTTCTTGTCCCAAAAGATAGAGTGATGTGTCAAAGGGCTGCTTGTGATGAAGAGATGATTAAATGAACAATCATCATGAAATGTGGGGAAAGCGTGACTGGGATGCTCAGGCCCCAGTGGAAGTCCAAACTTCATCTGGGAATGAGTGGTCAGGGAGGGCTAATGTTGTTCATGACAACAGTAATAGTCACCATCCTTAGTTAATAGTTTCATCAACTCCCGCTCTATGAGATGAGTACTGGGATTACTCCCTTTATACAGATGAAAAAACTGAGGCTCAGAGAGGTCAAGTCACTCTCCCAGGGTCACACAGCTGACGAGTGGCATGGCTGGAAATTGAACCCAGTTCCATATGGCTTCAGAATCTGTGCTCCTAACTAGACTGTTCTGAATCTCCTCCTTTTTTCTATGGCTTTTTTTCTAGGTCATGTCAAGCCACTAGAAGTGAGGCCTTGGTGGCAGTGCACATTCTTTGTAAAAAATAAAGATCTCTCAGAAAACCCCAACGTGAGTCTTTCTTCGTTCTTTGACTCATCTGTTCCCTTCTAGGCTGTCCCTAAAATCTTCGATCTGTCATGCAGAGGCAAGACCAGATTCAACCCTCACATAGGAGAATGAGGAAAAAGATGAGGCCCAGAGAGAAGAAAGGAGTTGCTGGCGAGTGACCAGCCTCTCAGTTTGCCTGGACTGAGGGGGTTCCCAGGGCACAGAACTTTCAGTGGTAAAAGGAGGAGAGTCCCGAGAAGTTGGTCACCCTATACAGCCACACACAACCACGGGCTTTTCGATGCAGCATCAAAACATGGTAGAATTTGCAGAAAAACTGACCTTGCCAGCCCCTTGGGAGGCTCAGGGTGGAGTGGCAAGGGCCACGTGTTTTCTGCTTCCATTGATGGCCTAGGGAAGGAGGGCTATGGTCCCTCATTCATTCATTCGTTCAACAAGCATTCGTTCCTTGTTCCTGAGGAGGGCTCAGAGGGGGAAGACGAATACGGTTCCTGCCCTGAAACGGCTCATTATTTAGATAGAAATGAGCATGTCAGAATCATTCATTAAACATTTGCTGGGCACCTTCTTTGCAGCAAGGGCGGAGCCAGGAATGCAGATGGGAGGAAAACAACTTTGGGTGCCCTTTCTGCAGGGGGAGCAGAAGCACGCACAATGTCACAAGGGGGGTGGGGGTCCAGGGCACCATTGTTGGGTCCAAAAGCTGCTGCCCTGCAGCCCAGAGCGACATACAGACAACTGAATTCCTGGGGTGCTGGGGGGCTCAGTCGGTCAAGCGTCCAACTTTGGCTTAGGTCATGATCTCACGGTTTCTGGGTTTGAGCCCCACACCGGGCTCTCTGCTGTCAGTGTGGAGCCTGCTTGGGATTCTTTCTCTCTTCCTCTGTCTCTGTCCCTTCCTTGCTCTCTCTCAAAATAAGTAAATAAGCTTTCAGAAAAAACAAACAAATAAACAACCCCAGCTGAATTCCTTTATGTTCTTCCCGAATGCCACGAAAACAAACATGAACCCAGCAAGGACACACATTTATAATTTTTAATATTACTTTTTGTGTCCTTTAATGTTACTAATTGTTCCCTGAGTACTCAGAGATCATCATCCTGGCTGTGATAATTTGTCCACTTAAGAGCACTGTTTTTCCTTTGGGGGACATGGTGGGATAGTTCTTGCCTGCCCCTGTGAAGGTGGGTTTGGCCATGTGGCTTGCTCTGGCCTAGGTGAAGATTTGAGAGGTGGGACGATTTGCTGGGCTCCCTTTCCGTCTGTCCGGGCAGCTGGTGGCTACATGTCAGCCTGGTCCCAGACTGGACAAAGCCTCCAGTGACCCCTGATGGACATGTAGCACAAGCAGGAAATAAATTCTGTTGTTACAGGCCACTAAGATTTGGGGTGTTTGTTACAGTGGGATTGACCTAACCTATCTTCACTGATGAAATGAATTGGGTGTTTATCCTTCCACCCCATGCTGCTATATATATTTTTATCACCTATATAATATCCATAAACAATGTATTGCATTGTTTTGGTTTTTAAAAATATACGCAGGGCTCCATGCTGTATGTGTTATTCCGCAACTTGGTTCTTTCACCCAACACTATTTCTTTCTAATTTAAATCCAGATTAGTTAACATATACTGTAATAATTGTTTCAAGAGTAGAATTTAATGATTTATCACTTACATATAACACCCAGTGCTCATCCCAACAAGGGCCCTCCTTAACGTCCATCACCCATTTAGCACCCCCAACATTGTTTATTTTTAAAAAAAAATTTTTTTAATGTTTTATTTATTTCTGAGAGGGAGAGAAAGAGAGAGAGAGAGAGAGACAGCGTGAGCAGGAGAGGGTCAGAGAGAGAGGGAGACACAGAATCTGAAGCAGGCTCCAGGCTCTGAGCGGTCAGCACAGAGCCTGACGCGGGGCTCGAACCCACGAACCATGAGATCATGACCTGAGCCGAAGTCGGACGCTTAACTGACTGAGCCACCCAGGTGCCCCCCAACATTGTTTCTTGAGGTCTGTCCATGCTGATTTACATATTTCTAGTGCAGTGCTGCTGGTTTTGAAGAGCATTCTACTGCACGGTACTATTATCCTTCTCCCCACCTCCCCCCCCCCCCATGGATGGACATTTACAGCAGGGCCGATTTTTATCATTACAAATAGTGCTTCAACGATCGTCCTTGGACTAATCTCCAGGTGCAAATGTGCAAAAGTTTCTCTAGGGTATATTCCAGGAAATGGGATTACTGGGTGGGAGGGTGTGCTCATTTTCAACTTTACCAATTGCCAAGTTCCTCTCCAAAGTGATGGTATCAACAGTACTTCTTTTTTTTTTTTTTTAAATATTTTATTTATTTCTAGGAGAGAGAGATAGCGTGAGCAGGGGAGGGTCAGAGAGAGAGGGAGATACAGACTCTGAAACAGGCTCCAGGCTCTGAGCTGGCAGTCAGCACAGAGCCCGATGCGGGGCTCGAACCCACGAACCGCGAGATCATGACCTAAGCGAAAGTCGGACGCTTAACCGACTAAGCCACCCAGGCGCTCCTATCAACAGTACTTCTTAAGATTTTCTTTCTTGTTTTTTCTTTTCCCATCCACTGTCCCCACACATTACAACTGCCCCCCCGCTTTTCTCCATAACCACTCTTGGACCCTCAGTCCCCACCCACAGAAACTCTCCTCCTCCAGCCCTTACCTTCCCCCCACCCCCTGCTTCAGCTCCTAAACAAAAGCCTAAGAACTGATCTGGCGTGAGGGCAAGGGAGGAACTGAGTCAAACAGAGACGAGACCTCAGCATCACAGGGGTGTGGGGGGAGGAGGAGAGAAATTCTGGAACCAGCATATGGTGATCATTTGTGTTGAGTCAGACAGATGGTGGCAGGTGACATATGTCATAGTCAGGTGCTGTCAAGGCACAGCAGGGTTGCAAAAGCTGAGTATCTACTTCTTCCCAGTGGGTCACGGAAGGACTATCGGACAATTTCCCAAAAATAGTTTTAGGACAAAGGGCATTCAGACCTGGAAAATTCCACCCTATGGCTGGACAGTAGGCCGTCACAGGCCCTCCAGCCACCTTCAGGAGGGGGCTGAGAACTGCTGACCTCCTTCTCCTGTGGGAGCAACAGGGAGTTAGGAAATCTTGCCTACAAGTCCCAACAATTTGATCAACAATTTAATGTTCTTTTTTAAATCTCCAAGTCTTGTCAATTCAAATCCTTTAAAAACCAGATAGTCAATACTTTTTTAAATGTATATTTATTGATTTTGAAAGAGAGAAAGAGAACAAGTGAGCCAGGGAGGGGCAGATAGAGAGAGGGAGGGAGAGAATGCCAAGCAGCTGACAGCACGGAGCCTGATGCAGGGCTTGGACACACAAACTGTAAGATCATGACCTGAGCCAAAATCAGGGGTAGGGCGCTGGACCGACTGAGCCACTCTAGGCACCCCACTAATTTATTTATTTTTTGCATAACGATTAGAGTGTCAATGCGATTCTAATTTTTTTTTCTAAATCACGAGGAAAACCTACTTTTTGAAAAAAAGACAGTGTCAATACTTTAATTCCCTTGGAAAATACAAAGGATCAGTGCTCCGTTACCTTCTCTTCAATCAAAATGTGTTAACGATTTTGTTCTCACTCAAAACTCATTCAAATGTCAATACTTTTTTTTCTTTTTTTAATGTTTTATTTATTTCTGAGAGAGAGAGAGAGAGCATGAACAGGGGAGAGTCAGAGAGAGAGGGAGACACAGAATCTGAAACAGGCTCCAGGCTCTGAGCTAGCTGTTAGCACAGAGCCCGATGCGGGGCTCAAACCCATGAACCGTGAGATCATGACCTGAGCCGAAGTCAGACGCTTAACTGACTGAGCCACCCAGGCGCTCCTACTTTTTTTTTTCTTAAAAGAGTCAGCAATGCCATTGTCTTTTCCTTTTTCATAACATTAATATTGGTCACATGTTAGGAACTTCCACTTTGGGAGACTTTAAAAAACCATTCACATTCTCACACCCCTTACACGGCTACGGCTGTCATTTTGGTAGGCTTCCTTCCACTTCTTTTTCTTTACATTCATTAAACCTGTCAACAGTTGGAGTCAGTGAGCACAGGTTGGGCACCTATGGGTGGCAGGCATGGGCAGAAGAAAATGACCCAAACTTGGGCCAGGCCCTTGAGGTGCCCCGAGTGTGGCTGGGAGTCCCCAAGCAGGGATGGAGCCTTCACGGAGTGCTCCAATGGAGGCTCAGAGTGATGCGGAGCCCAGGGAGCTGGAGTCCCCTTGGGATGGAAAGACTGGGGCTCTGGAGGGCCCTCACATCCAGGACTGAGACATCAAGAGATTCCTGTCAAATGTGAATCTGTCTAGCTTTCTTTTGTCAATTAACACCGAACACATAGTGCTGAGAAACGTTGCTGTTTGAGGTCAGGTCAGTGAGATGAAGAATTCTGCTCTTGTCTAGTGGGTCAGAGCCAGATTTGACACAGAGAAGCAGCCCGGATTACCTCCCCAGGTGCAGAGCTTCAGATAAGAGGTTTCTGGACACAACGGTCCACACTTAACTTTGTGGTGTCCAAGGAAACAGGACTATGAGTCTACTTCTGGTCTCAAGCTAGATGTTAACCCCTTTCTACAAGGCCAGGTTTGCCTTGAGCCTGTCCACATGGCTTCATGTCAGTTTCTCCTAAATGCCAAGCTTCCCCCCAAATCCTACAATAATAATCCTGTTTCTTCCTTTCTTTCATGAGACACCCCATGGTTTCTCTGCGTGCTTGCGGCATCAAGTCAATAAACCTAACTCTGTTAAACTATACCTGTGTCCCTGGTGGTCTTTACCAGACTGGCTTTATCATAAAATTCAAGCCTTCTCTGTTCATTCATTCACTCACTGATTCCTTCAACAAATGTTTACCCAGCCTACGTTCAGCTTTAGGTGCTGGAGACATGGTGACAGGACAGTCAAGGTCTTTGGCCTTGTGCCCACTGCTTCTAATAGATGAAATAGAAAATAAACAGATAATGGGGCGGCTGGGAGGCTCAGTTGGTTGAGGGTCCGAATTCAGCTCAGGTCATGATCTCACAGTTCGTGGGTTCGAGCCCCGTGTCGGGCTTTATGCTGACAGTTAAGAGCTTGGAGCCTGCTTTGGATTCTGTGTCTCCCTTTCTCTCTGCCCCTCCCCTGCTTGTGCATGCTCGCTTGCTCTCTCTCTCTCTCTCAAAAATAAACATTAAAAAAAAAAAAAAAAGCTTACAGGGTGCCTGGGTGGCTCAGTTGGTTAAGTGTCCGACTTTGGCTTAGGTCATGATCTTGCGGTTCTGGGTTCGAGCCCCACATCGGGCTCGGTGCCGACAGCTAGTTCAGAGCCTGGAACCTGTTTCAGATTCTGTGTCTCCCTCTCTCTCTGACCCTCCCCTGCTCATGCTGTCTCTCTCTCTCTCTCAGAAATAAATAAAAAACATTAAAAAAAAAAGAAAAGAAACAGATAATAACAATACAGATTAATAGGCTATGAAGGGAGTGCATGGTGCCTTTAGAAGAGAGTGGACAGCAAAGGCTGCTCTCGAGGGGCTACGTTTGAACTGGATCCTTGAGGAACAGATGTCAGGAAAGAGCACCACAAGCAGAGATTGCCAAAGAGGTGAAGATGAGCTTCTGGGGTTTGCAAAATAACTAGAAGGCCACTGTGCCTGGAGCAGTGAGTGAACAGGAGGGTGGGGAAAGGTGAGGAATGTGGGGCAAAGTGCAAAGCTTACATTTTATCCTGAGCGATACAATAATCTTACCCAGAGCCACAATATATATATACTTTCTATATAAATTTATAAACCTTTAAAATCGGAGCTGCTCTGGGACTTAAGCCATCTCCTACCCCAACCCAACCCCAGCAGTTTTCTGAAGCATTCCCCAGGAACCTAAAGATGGGATGGGGTGGGGTGTACAATTGGAAGTCTTTAATGTAGTCCAACCCCCTCATTTTACAGATGGGGAAACCAAGGCTGAGAGGGAGTGAAGGGTGGAAACTACGCTTTAGGGCTGAGTGAGGTCAGGGCCCACAGTCACTAGCCGAGGTAGGGGTGGGGCCGTAGCAAGGAGCCTCGTTATCCAACCACCAGCTGGAGAACCTGGCAATCTAGAGGTTTACTAACCAGCAGTGGCAGTATAGACAAAAGGCACATCTCTTCTCCAGTGACACTGGCTGGGAGTGGGGTGGGGTGGGGTATATGGGAGGTCAGGGAGGGGGACGGGCAGGGTTGGGTGGTGGTGATAATCCAGCAGGGGTCTTTGGAGAGACCCTCTTAATTCCTTAGCCTGCCCCATTTTGATAGAGCAAATGGGAGGAGAGCAGGCTGGGCCACCTGAGTGCCGGTCACTAACCCCTAAGTTCCTTGGCCAAGTCCCTTCCACTTCAGGGTTAACCATGATGTGGAAGGATTGCCTTAGCATTTGCACTTCCTCTTATATGCTGTGCTATTTTAAAATGTGTGCCCCCCGACTCAAATCCAGGCTAACCCCAGACTCAAATTAGCTAAGTGTGACTTCAAAATTTCAGTTCTTAACCATCAGCAATTGGAAAGTCTTAGGGGGAAGAGGGACACAGGCTGAGATTGAGCCTTCTACACACGGGATCTTCCCCTGGACAGACGGACAAACCCACGTGGCACGTGGCCACTTCTGTCTGGGTACATTGACGCAGGGGCACTTAACAGACTATGCCCACTGACTCACGTGGACTGATTCCACGGGGCGCCACACAGGATCACGGTTTCCAAACAGCAGCCACCCAGCCCTCTATTTTGGTTTTTTTCCCCTGGGTGGTGCAAAGAGTCAAGGGTGTAACCTCAGGGTGGGGCGCTGAGTCAGCTGCGGGCGGGCTCCTGGAGTGTCTCAATTCCCGTTTCAACTTCTTTTCGTTTTGCAGCTGGCCAAAGCGGGGCTCAGAGAATCAGAGAACTTCCCCGAAGCCGAGAAGCTGCCTCCTCGGTACCCATAGCTCCGCACGGTAGGAAGGCCTGAGGATGGAGGAAGGCCCAAGAACCACTACGGGTTAAAACCATGGAGCTACGGAGCACCACCGAGGCCTAGAGAGACCCTCCTACCCTATTGCTACCCCCTACACTTCCAACTTCCGGCGGGGCGCCACTTCCGCTTCCGGCGGCGGGCTACAAAGCTCTACGCTGGGTAGTTGGTTTCCTTTCCTCGGAGTCGTTTGCGGGCTTCGAGTCCGGTCGCCAGGACCCCCCGCCCCCGTTGCCCCCTGCCCTCTGAGGTGGCACCTGCGCAGGTGAACACTCCCTCCCTTCTTCCCTCCCGCCTGCCTCTCCTTCCCCGGCGCGCGGTCTGTGGGGAGCGGGGGGCTGCGGCGGCCGCGGCGCCGGCCGCGCTCGGAGCGGGAAAGCCTTGCTTTGCGGGTTTGCGGGCTGCTCGGGCTGGCGTGGCCCTGGGTCTCGCTTCAGCCCGGGAGGACGAGGTGCTGGGTTGGAGCCCCAGAAGCGCTTTTCCGGCCCAACTAGGCCCCCTGAGCCGCGCCCATATGGTGGGAGGAGCCCGACTCAGCTCCCCGCCTTAGAAGCCGGGAATTTTCTACCCGGTTGAGTTGTCCCACCAGCTCCAGGCCTTGTGACTTTGGGCAGATCCCTTCTAGTCGAGCCTCAGTTTGTTTACTTGTGAATGACAATGTCCTACTGGGTTTTCGGGAGGATTGCTTGGAGGAGGGACAGCTTCCGCAGAGTGTTTGGCCTGTAAAATTCAGCAAATAGCATCGCGGCTGCTGTTGCTAATAGAGACGGCTGGGGCAGTAGAGAGTCGTGAGGAGAATTCTGGGTGGCTAAGAGGATCACGTAGAAGAGAACGTGAAATGCTTAGCACAGTGTTAGATAGGAAGTAAGTGCTTGGTAAATCGGAATTATTAATTGATGAGGGCAAGCACTGTGTCTGGTTATTGATTTCCTAAAACTGATAGAATTGATAAGCGAGGTGAATTATGAAGTTGGTCTGTCAGAGCCAGCCTTGAAAACTGGCCTGATCATTGAGACTCTTCTTAGAAGTCTGGGTTGTAAAGATGTCTGGTGCTAAGAGCCAGAAGAATTAATAAGAGGGTGTTTTCCTAAGTGGTTTGGGGGTTTTTTACTCAGAAAGGTTTTGGGCAGGAGGAGAGTGTTTGCTTCCTTTTGAGTTGTTATGAAAGTAAGACATAGTTGTAGTTAAAAAGAAAGCAGTATCGAAAGCTGTGGAATGAAAAACGTTTCTATCTTCTGTCTTCGCCCCTCAGGTGTAAATAGAATTGAAGGTATTTGTGGATAGATCAGGTCTTGTGTGCTTATGTGTATGTATTTTAATTTCCTCAGGTGGGGTCATCCTACTCATAGTGATGTGCGTCTTAGTCAGACGGTGTGTTGTTGTCTGAATGTATCCGCACTCACAGGCCGACTTCATTCTTTATAATGCTACACCGTATTCTGCTGAATGGCTGATGATACTTCAATTATTTCCCTGTTGATGGTCACTTAGGTTGTTCCCAGGATTCTGCTGTCTCACCTTTCATCCAACCTTTCCTTGACAAAATACTTCCTTTTTATCCAAGGCACCCTGGAGTTACGGGGATATTTTGCTTTGATCCTCATTCACTCTGGGTTAGTAATCACTTACTTCTGGGGAAGAGGACACTGTTGATTGGGCAAAAACCCAGGTAATATGAGAAGAACAGGTATACTCCAAGAGTATCCGAACTGCAGGGTATAGACTCTGTACAGGGCTCCTAGAAGATGGGCCATGGAACGTTTAGGGAAGCGGTGACGCGGCGCTGAGAACTAGTTCATGCAAGGCAGCTAGTCGGTGTTGGTGACTGTTGATCTCTTTCACTGGTTACCCAGGAAACAGATTTGAGAGGATCTCGGAGCGGGGAGGGATCTTAAATGTAGCACTTCTGCTATACGGACTCGGGAGGGGTCCCTTCTTGGGAGAAGGGGTTTCCTAATGATGGCTTTTGACCACTGTCATAGGAGTTATACTCTTTGATTGGACAGACCCCGATATAGAAATTAATTTAGTCATTTCTGTACTGTCACTTGAAGTCTCTCTCTCTCTCTCTCTCTCTCTTTTAAATAACAGATTGTGGTTTTACTGTAAATAACCCTTCTCTTGGACTGGGGCCTTAACCTGAATGAAGCAAAGCCTTTTTTTTTTTCCCCTGGCATTTTACAGGTATTTGGTGTGCGCCTCCCCCCTTCCCCACTACAGCTGGTTTGCTAATCCTAGAGCTGACAAGCATCCAAAGAGTTGGAAGTCTGCACTACTAGGATTCTGACTCGGTCAGTTTCCTGTATGTACACTGATTAGAGGAACTTAAGATCTTAATCTTTACATGGAGGCTTTTCCTTTCTATTCTTTTTTGTGAAAAGGGGGCTTAGGCTCCACCCTGATGGTAACTCCAAAGTTTAAACCTTTGTTACTCTTTGATCATGAAAGAGATGGGGATGGGGTGGAAAAGACAGCAGAGTAGATGTAAATGAACAGACTTTTATGTCTTATATTTTAGTCCTTTCTCATAACTTGCTTTTGGCCATAACCTAACTCCATAAGGGACAATGTTGGTAAACCACTGGCACCTTTTTTTTTTTTTATATATTTTTATTTATTTCTAGAAGAGAGAGAGAGAGACAGCGTGAGCAGGGGAGGGTCAGAGAGAGAGGGAGATACAGACTCTGAAACAGGCTCCAGGCTCTGAGCTGGCAGTCAGCACAGAGCCCGACGTGGGGCTCGAACCCATGAACCGCGAGATCATGACCTAAGCGAAAGTCGGACGCTTAACCGACTAAACCACGCAGGTGCCCCACTGGCACATTTTTCTTAATTGTGTCAATTGATCAAGAAGAAACAAAAATAGAATTTCCAGGACCTTTGATAAGAAACTCTGTTAGGATTGGAAAGTGGATGGAACCTGGATCTGGACCAGATCCATGAGATTAGGTGGTTTTGATAGTCTTTGTGGTCTGTTTTTGCTGAGCCTGTCTTTTCTCTGTGTTTAGGAGCCTGAGACCTCCTTTTCCAGAGCCCCAGGATGGAGCCTGAAGGGTACCTAGAGACACAAAGAGATAGAGAAGTCCAGAATGGTAAAATAAGGTCACCATCCAATGAGATGCCGGCTGAGGAGTCCGAAGTTGTCCTCATAGCGGCTCCCCAGGCCCAGGTTCCACGCCAGCCTTCCGGGCCTCCAGCAGAGAGCCTCGAGGGAGACTCTGTCGAAGACCTTGAGGCCCTGCCACGAAGGAGCCCTCCCAACGCGGCAGCCTCCAGACAGAGGTTCAGGAAGTTCCGCTACGAGGACGCGGCGGGGCCCCGGGAGGTCCTCCGACACCTCCAGGAGCTTGCCGGACAGTGGCTGAGACCCGATATTCACACAAAGGAGCAGATCGTGGAGATGCTGGTGCAGGAGCAGTTCCAGGCCGTCCTGCCCGAGGAGCTCCGCGCCCGGGCCCAGAGGTGTCAGCCTGGGGTCAGGATCACTGGCTGAGTCCCGCCACTGGGGTCTTGCTCAGCCTACGCGTGAGACGCCACCAGAGGTTCTCTTTGTTGTTGCAAGAGCCAAGGACAGTCGTGGGGAAATGCAAACCTCGGTTTTTCTGAGCTTGCCTTTGGCTGGTTGTAATAAGATTCCATCAGAACCTGTGTCTGGACCTCTCTCTGGCTGAGGCAGCTCTTGTTCCTGGGACTGAGCTCCAGAAGGAGCTTCTCTCCCCTCTGGTTCGGACAATCAGCCTGTTGCTTGTTTTTGCTCTGCTGAATGCCTCCTGTTTTGCACTTTCCGACATGCTTTAATATATTGTTATGTATCCAAAGAAGTAATCGCTTCATCTTTCTGAATTCTTGATACTTGCTGTGGTGGCATGAATGGAAGCTTCTGTAACCCCGTCCAGTAAACTCACTTGAGACGTCCTTGAAATATTAAAGTTTGGTCCTTAATCACAGTGTGCTGTGGTGATTTACCAGTTTAGCTCTTACTCGGCACCTGAGAAAGGGGAGACAGGTGTCAGGAGTAGATGTGAGCCAGATGTAAGATGAGAACAGGCCATGCCTTCGTGTTAGTCAGAATTTTAAAAAAATTCTTTCTTTTCTTTTTTTGAGAGAGAGAGAAGAGGCAAGTGAGCCAGGGCCAGCTAAAGAGACAGGAAGTGGGAGAGAGCGGGGCATGTGCTTAACCCATTGTGGGACTCGAACTCCCAAACTGTGAGGTCATGACCTGAGCTGAAGTCCAATGGATAACTGTTTGAGTGACCCAGGCGCCCCCAGAATTTTTTTTTTAAGTTTATTTATTTTGAAAGAGAGCCTTAGAATACACACAAGTTGGGGAGGGGCAGAGAGCGGGAGAGAGAGAATCCCAAGGTCATGACCTGAGCTGAAATGAAGAGTCAAGACGCTTGACTGAGGTGCCACCCAGATGGCCCCAGTCAGAATTTAAATTAAAACAGAGGGGTGCCTGGGTAACTCAGCCGGTTAAGCATCCAACTTTGGCTCAGGTCATGATCTCACGGTTCGTGGGTTCGAGTCCCCACGTGGGCTCTGTGCTGACAGCTCAGAGCCTAGAGCCTGTCTTTGGATTCTGTATCTCCCTCTCTCTCTGACCCTTCCCTGCTCATGCTGTCTCTCTCTCTCAGAAATAAATAAATAAAAACATTTTAAAAAATTTAAATTAAAACTGAGGGATAGGGACGCCTGGGTGGCTCAGTCAGTTGACCGTTCAACTTTGGCTCAGGTCATGATGAGGTGAGTTTGAGCCCCACATCGGGCTCTGTGCTAACACACAGCTTGGAGCCTGGAGCCTGCTTTGGATTCTGTGTCTCCCTCTTTGCCCCTGTCTTGTCTCTCTCAAAAATAAACTTAAAAAAAAAAAGAATGGAAACCAGCTTGACAAACTATTTGTAAAAATAAATAAAATAGAAACAAAAGAAAAAAAAAACGAGATACAACAGGGTCCTAAGAGGTAACGTAACACAGATCTGTTTGATTTGTTATTTCTCCATTTGTTCTAAGTTTGTCTTCCCTCAGGAGAACTCCGTCTACAGTCATTTGACTGTTCTGCTCTTCCTGAAACAGGTCATCCCAGCTTTCTGTGCGTGGAGACCTGTGCCTCGGCTGACCACTGAGAGCCGTAGCTGTGGTTGGGACAGGCAGGAAATATATGGCAGTTGCTTTTCCTCAGCGTGGCCCAGTCTTGAGGAACCTCGCTGTCTCTGTGGCCTGGCTCTCAGATTTGTACATCTAGAACCGGCTTGGTGCCAACTCAGAAACTAATCTTTGGTAAAGGGGCCAGTTAGCTCTAAGCTGGAACTCCTGTTTATTCTGCCAGTGTTTAATACTTCCGAACCTGTGGGACTGGTCTAGAAGCTAGGATACAAATATAAAGCCCAGTATTAAGGAAATGTATGATTTTTGAGGTGGAGAGGAAGACTATACTGGTAGGACCGCTTGAGTAAAACTAGTCTTCCCTTTTTGGCATCTGGTTTTGAGATAGCATTAAGAAAACATTTCCTATTTTAAAAATACACGAAGAGCAGAGGAGGGAGGAAATAGCCAAGTTAGGGAAGTGAGATTTTTAATTGAACTTAAGCAGATCACTGGACAGAATCACCCCTTGAGCTAAACAGCATGGGAATGCTTGGGGAGCAGAGAACATACAGAATAGTGAACTGTGCCTTTTATTGACTAGGTTAAGCTTTTCTTTGTCTTTAAAACTATTTTATTTTAAAGAGGGTTTTTTTTTTTTAATCTTTAATCTCTACACCCAATGTGGGGCTTGAACTCGCAACTCTGAGATCGAGAGTCACAAGCTCCACTGACTGAGCCAGCTGGGTGCCCTTTATGTTAAGCTTTCCTACCTCTAAGTAAAATTTAAGATTGGCAAAGGAATTCGTAACCACGACGGGGTCAGAATATCTCCAATATTTCAGTTTGTTCGGAACACTACAGAGGTATTTCTTTTAATCTGCAGGGATCAGGGACTCCCGATGTTAAGAATTTCTTGGCCTAAAAAAATAATAAGGAAATAAATAAGAATTTCCTAGCCTACACCAATGTCTCAGCTGCTTCGATCTAGAATACAGTGTGTAAGTAAAGCAGCCGACTTTCCAGGAGGACCAGAAAGTTATCACCATAGAGATTCAATGGCTCGACATCTGGGTGTCCTAAGTTGAGTGACCTTAGCACATACTTTCTCAACATTGGCAGTTTGAGGCCAGACCATTTTTTTAATGGGGGCTTGTCTTGTGTATCATGGGATGTTTAGCAGCACCCCTAGTCCTTACTGGATGCCAGCAGCACCCCACTGATGAGACAACCAAAAATGTCTCCAGATGTCACCAGAAGTTCCCTATGGGCAAATTTGCCCCTAGTTGAGAACCACTGATTTAACGGGACAGTTCATCACAGATATGCCACAGGTTACCCTTAATGTTGAGTTGGGGAAGCTGTAGGAAGAGTGGTATAAATTTGGTTTCATATTGGGGTATCTGGCTGATCTGGTTGGTGGAGCATGTGACTCTTAATCTCAGGGTCTTGAGTTCAAGTCTCACGTTGGGCATGGAGCCGACTTAAAAAAATTGCATTTTGTATCCCCCGCATGTGTTGAGGTAACGTCACCTACTCTGGCAAATCTTAAGTTCTTTGGTACAAAGATTAATATTACACCTCCAACCCCAGCCATTCTATTGAGATGGTTTCCTGTGTGTCAGGATCTAGACTAGATGCACGAATGCTTCATTTAATGCTTACAGTCATCTGACTTCACCTATTCATATAAATACACCTGCTTTATAGATGAGAGAACTGAGATTCACCAGTAACACAATATGGCAATAATGGTGGAGCTGGAATCTAGGCCCTGGATTTCTGTCCCCCGAGTCTTGGGCTTTTTCCATCACGTCTGCAAGTGTGAATTTAACAAGCATCTCTTGAGGACCTGCATGCAAGATGTTTCTTCTTTGACTTTTCTTCAATTTATCTTACAATGCAGAGTAACATTTTTTAGTTTCATTTGATACTGAAAAAGTATGAAAACAAAAATGGTCCATGATCTCACTTCCTAGGTAACTCCCACTGACATTTTTCAAAGCAAAAGATACATTTGCATGTGGACAGAAAAGTCCAAAAGTATAGAAAGGAATAAAAAGAAAATTGATAGAGTCCCTACGTGTGGGAGAGAGCATGAGCCAGAAGGGGCAGAGAGGGAGGGAGGGAGGGAGAGAGAGACAGAGAGACAGAGAGACAGAGAGAGAGAGAGTCTTAAACAGGCTCTACACCCAGTGTGGAGCCCAACCTGGGGCTTGATCCCACAACCCTGGGACTATGACTTAATCCAAAATTAAGAGTCAGATGCTTAGCTGACTAAGCCACCCAGGCACCCCTAAAAGGAAAATTTAAAGTCTCTCCCCTAAGTTAGCGTTACATATCCTTCCAAAAATATGAATAATACAGATGTATATGCATAAACACATATATCCTTTTCTTATTTACACAAAATCCATACCATGCACGTTTAGGCTGTTTATACTTTTCTTCCCTAATAAGTCTTGGGATCTTTTGCTATCAACATACAGAGATTGGCTTTATTAAAAAAAAAAAATTAGCTGATGAGTAGTTCCTTGTATGAGTAAAACCTAGCCTTATACTATGAGTAAAAAAAATCCCCAGGTAGGGGATTTAGGTATGGACTCAAACCTCCAAAGCATAAGAGGTTGAGAGAGGTAAGTGACAGAGCCATGACTCAATCTCCATGTCCTGACACCAGAACTGGTACCGTTCACAGTTGTCCAGCACGGTCTCCCAGCAACCCCGCGGTACCAGCCCTTTGCCATGGACGTGAATTTACACAGGAGATTCTTTGCATCAAACAAACCCAGTAAAAGGAGATGCTGCAGTTCATCTCCATTTCATCTGGCTCCAGCCCCATGCCCTTGCCATGAGGTCACGCTGCCTGGATATCAAAGAGCAGAGCAAGTCCAGCGTTTCAAGGGCTCCTTGGGGATTTGAGAAGACAGTAACTCTGTATCTCTGTTGCCACTCCCTGAGATGATTCCCATGCTTTCTCTGTGCAGCGGCGCTACCCAGCTCACACCAGTGCCTGACGTTGTCCTTTTTTGAGTCCATTTAGAGTCTAGTCCCAGAGAACCCTACACATTTTATTTTTTAAAATTGTTTCTTTATTTTTGAGACAGAGCATGAGAAGCGCAGGGGAGGGGCAGAGAGAGAGAGAATTCAAAGCAGGCTCTAGGCTCTGAGCTGTCAGCACAGAGCCCGATGTGGGTCTTGAACTTATGAGCCGTGAAACCATGACCTGAGCTGAAGTCACACACTTAACCAACTGAGCCACCAAGGTGCCCCTTAAACACTTTAATTCTGTGAGAGGATAGAGAAGGAAAATGCAGAGCTTTCAGAGGGAAATACTTCTCAACTGTCTCCCATGCCTAATTTTCCCATTGTGATTATTTTGACTCCAAGTTCCACAAAAGAATAATTTCATCTAGTTATTGAAAAATGTCCCTGCCTGGGGCACCTGGGTGACTCAGTGGGATGAGCGTCTGATTTTGGCTCAGGTCGTGATCTCATGGCTCATGAGTTCGAGCCCCTCTTCGGGCTCTGTGCTGACAGCTCGGAGCCTAGAGCCTGCTTCAGAATCTGTGTCTCTGTCTCCCTCTGCCCCTCTCCAGCCTATGAGCTCTCACTCTCTCTCTCTCTCTCTCTCTCTTTTTCTCTCCCAACTAAATAAAGTTAGAAGAAAGAAAGAAAGAAAGAAAGAAAGAAAGAAAGAAAGAAAGAGAAAAAGAAAAAGAAAAATGGTCCTGCCAGATGGCTGCTAGTGAAAATCAGTGTTGGGACCACAAGGTAATTTGAGATTCCTAGCAACTGGCGGGTGCCATGGAAGAATATGTCATCCGTTGGGCAGCTACTCTCTGAGCAGTGAGTGGGTGCCAGG